GGGTCTAAGGACACTGACGCCCTGGGACGGTGGGTCCGCTAGTGTAAATTAGCTCAAGGTTCTGAAAAGAACTGGCTCCTTAAATCATTACTATTTTGACATATGAGTTTTGATAGCAATCATATTAAAACCTTTAAATTGTTCATATTTTTACCTCGGCAGTACCAATCCTGAGGATTCATCCTAGGAAATAACTAAAAGTGCTGTACAGTAATGATGGCAAGTGAAAATAACCACCATACTTTATTAGGCACATATTGTATCCCCAGGCACTGTGTGATACTTCACATAAATTACCGTTTCACTTAATTCTCACAACTCTATGAGGCAGCTATTATTACTATGATATTAATTTTCTAGCTGAGAAAACAGAGGCTTCTAGTCAAGAGCTGGTAAATGTGGCGGAGCTGGGATTCAAACTCAGGTCTATCTGAAACCTAAGCCCAGGCTCTCAGCCCATAAAATATGCTACGCTAAGAAAACTCTAATAAGAAGATGGGGGCAGTAATTTCCATAGTTTGGTAGTTCTACAGCATAATTATTTATGATTGTGAAAAAAGCCTGGAAACAACCTAAATGCTCAAGCAAAAGGGAATATTTAAATGGACACTCCATGGCTATTAGCTTAGCATAATATTGAGGTAAATTTTAATGACACTGAAAAAAGTTTGTAACATATTAAAGTGAAAAAAGCAGGTTAAAAACAACATGGCCAATAGGATTCCCGACACATAATGTGTGTGTCTGCGCAGAGAAGGCTGAAGGGCAAACATGGACTTGTTTTTATTTTCTTACGTCCTTTTCTACATTTTCTAATTATTTTTGCAATTAGAAAAAACTACATCTAGGGATGGAGTGGGGGAAGCACTCACAGAGAAAGAATTGTCCTCTCCAGAATAATAAAAAGACTATAAATTATCTGTGCTCTGAAAAAAGACATTAGAACATCTTCCCACCAGCACGCTACAGATGAAGGGAGGACGACGGTGCGGGGGAGGGCGATCAGAACTACTCATGAATGGCACTCACATCTCACTTTCAAAAGCGACCTGGAAGACCTAGCACCTCCAGGCTGGTTTGCACCCTCCAGCTTTCGTCAGCCTATCGTTGGGCAACAATGTGAAAATTATTTGCAGGGAAAGATTCTGCAATATTTCTAATATAGTTCTAAGACACCTATGCTTCTTTCTTTCTCTGTTCTGTACTTTATTTTCAGGGAATAATATTATTTTCCCCAAGGAAAATAAAAAAATTGAATATGTATTTCTTCTACTACTGAAGCAGAAATAATTTTGTAACTTGAAAAATGCATGGAGGGAGGACTTCCGCCAAGATGGAGGCGTAGGTGGAAGCACTGTGCCTTCTCACACAACCAAGTTTAAAAACAACAAAATTTTAGCAACAAAAATGCAGCCAAACCACAGAAAATTGAACTACATGGAAGTCTGACAACAACGAACCCTTCAGCCAAACCAGTAAGAGGGGCAGAGCCAGCAGCGGAGCGGGGTCGGGCAGGAAAGATCCCACCAGACCAACCCAGGCGCACAACCCAGGTGCGCCAGCAGCCATGGGCGGATCCCAGGTGTGGAGAAGTGGGCAGACCCACTGCGGTCACACATTCTCGCGCAGATAAACCGGTGAAGGAGTGAGCGGTGAGATAGACCGTGCAGGCCCCAGTGGTGGGAAGCGGCAGAGGGGACTGCCATTGTCCCTCTCTGACCCCACCCCCACATACAGCATCACAAACCAGCTACACCATTTCCCCTGAATAGTAGGGGAAATATAGAATCTAAAGAACTTGTGGTCATAAACTAAAGGGGGGGAATGGTGGGGGAGGGGGTGTGCTGGGTGGAGGGAAATGAAGGGGGGAAATAGAACAACTGTAACAGCATAATCAATAACATATATTTTAAAAAAAAGAAAAGTGCACGGAGGAACTTCTGGCCAAGATGGAGGTGTAGGTGGAAACACTATGCCTCCTTGCACAACCAAGTTTAAAGACAACAAAGTTTTAGTAAAAAAAATGCAGCCAAAACACAGAAAGTTGAACTGTAGGGAAGTCCGACAACAACCAATGGTTCATCCAGACTGGTAAGCGGGGCGGAGTCAGCGGCGGAGCAGGGTCGGGAAGGAAAGATGGGCCAGACCGACCCAGGAGGGCAGGAGCTCAGGAGTGCAGGTGGCAGTTAGTGGATCCCAGGTGTGGGGTGGCAACTGGCTGACCCAGTGAGGGTGCAGTGGCTGTCTGACCGCGGTCACATATTCGTGTGAAGATAAACCAAGCACACCAAGGCACATCATAATTACATTAGCCAAGATTCAAATGAAGGAGAGAATCCTAGAAGCAGCAAGAGCTAAGGGGACAGTCACCTACAAAGAAGTGCCCATCAGACTGTCAACAGATTTCTCAAAAGAGACCTTACAGGCAAGAAGGGGCTGGAAAGAAGTATTCCAAATCATGAAATCCAAAGACCTACATCCAAGATTGATCTATCCAGCAAAGCTTTCATTTAGAATGGAAGGGCAGATAAAGTGCTTCTCAGATAAGGTCAAGTTCAAGGAGTTCATCATCACCAAGCCTTTATTCTATGAAATGTTAAAGGGACTTATCTAAGAAAAAGAAGACAAAAAAAGATGAACAGTGAAAGGACAGCAAACTCACAGTTATTAACAACCACACCTGAAACAAAAGCAAACTAAGAGGACAGCTAGATCAGGAGTGAACCATAGAAATGGAGATCACATGTAGGGTTAGCAACAGGGGAGAGGGAGAAGGAGAAGGAGAAGGGGGGAAAAGGTGCAGAGAATAAGTAGCATAGACAGTAGGTAGAAAATAGACAGAGGGGAAGGCAAGAATAGTATGGGAAATATAGAATCTAAAGAACTTGTGACACATGGACATAAACAAAAGGGGGATGGTGGGGGAGGGATGTGCAGGGTGGAGGGGAATGAAGGGAGGAAATGGGACAACTGTAATGGCATAATCAATAAAATATATTTAAAAACAAACAAACAAACAAAAAACAAAAGAAGAAAAAGAAAAATGCATGGATGATCCAGACAGTGAATCACAAATTGAGACAATTTTGAATAAGCTTGTACAAACACTTATTTTCGTATTCCTTAGCCTTCTACTCATTTAAAACTCTGCCTTGAAAGGCTTCAACAATTTCGAGATTAAATCATAAGTTATTATGCCATTAATTTAACCATTTAAGCCTCTAAAATCAGCATATACCTTCCCCCCTCAAGTCAATTTGCAAGAGATTAAAATAATAAAAATGATAATATCTCACACTTACAAAGCAGCTTTGATCTGTAGGAGTCTAAAGGACTTTTAAAAAACTTTTATAAAAAACTAGGACCATCCACCCACATCTCAGAATACATCTGAGGCAGACGCTGGCAGCTGGTGAGAAGCAATAGAGTAACTTACCATTTGCACAGAATATGACTACTTTTGACAAGAATGAGGAATAGATGGAGTTGCCAACAGAATTAGCTGTTAATTAAAAGGTAAATTCAATGACCACAGATTGCAAGGGCATTGAATTTATGATTCTAAAACTATGTAAATTTTCACCAGAGGAAGTGGCTTAACTGTTTGCTTTAGAGGAGGAGGAAAAAACAACAACAAAAAACAAAGAAAACTAACCCCAGCCTACATCAGGGAAATTATTGGTCCTCTTTATTCTGTCCAGAGTCACGAGTGGATAAATAAACTGTGACGTTAAAGTTCTTTCTGTGTCTAGAAACATTTCCCTCTCTTTCATACTCAGGCCCAGAGATCCCTGTATGGAACATTTCCCTCCCTGTCTCGGTGTGCAGAACTGGACCCCCGCTCCAACCTCTGCCTCCTCCATCCATTTCAAAGCCCCTACAGAAATAATTTTCTGCCACCTGCACAAACAAGAGACTAACTTTTCAAACATATTGTTTTGGAGTCAGCTTCCTCTTAAATGTGGTTTTCTTCTTCAGTCTCTTCCCTAAAGAAAAACTGAAGTGACTCCATCCTGGAGGGCCCCTGGGCACGGTGAGAGAACACCTGAGCTGCCTTTACTAAGTGGCACTCCAGTTCTGAAGCTTACTTCCCCTGAGTCTGATTTTTCCACATCTCTTTAACACAGAGTCAGTTCTTATCTATAAAAAAATCAACCATGAAAAAAATGATTTAAGTAAAGAACTACTTCAACTAGATACAAAATAAAATTTCTTTACCACCTGGGAATATATAAAATCAGAACATCAATGGAAACACTGGCTGCCAAGTGAGATGGAACAGCCATGAAGAATTTTCCTCATTGCTTTTCGTTGCTTTTAAAGAGCAGCCACGTGCTCTCCCAGATGCCCTACATGGCACTTGCTTGAACGCCTGAGGTGGACCAGATGGTGTGCGAGTCCTGCCAGCTCTAGGAGTCTATTCTACATTGTCCTGACTCACTGACGGCTCCAAGCAGCCATGATGCAAAGGTGATAAACGGCTCATGGAGAAAGGAAGAAGGATGAGGGACCACGTTAAGTTGCCAAGCAGGCTGGTTATTATCTATATACCTCATTCTTCTGTAGCAGTTTTTGGAAATATCTTTGCAATGATATATACTTCTGTATGCAGTCAGCTTAATTGACCTTAAACAGTTTGACTTTGTATATTGATGAAGGAACTTAAAAAAACATTCTAAATAAATTCGTTCCACTCTATTCAAGCACTCTCAACTAAGATCTGCCTTTCAAACAATACGAATGTAAGAAACAAAAATTAATTTTAATACGTATAAAACAAAACATAATTTGGAAGATAAAGGTACTCTAATAAAAATTCATTACAAAGTTAAACATGTCTACAATAGCTGTTTCTCCCTAAATTTTGCTGATCATGTAGCCCCACTTGGGAAGAACACAGTTGCTATGGCGCACACACACACAGACACACAGGTGTATCTGTACGTGCACACACACATCTGAGAGATAGGAAATTAAAATGAAAGTAAAAATCTTGATACCTTCTTCATGGCCTGACACTTGGCTGTCTCAGAAAAGCCAATCATCTTATCAGGAGAACAGATCTTGATGAAGGGGAAATTGGATTCCTCTGCGATCTTCGCAGCTAGCGCAGTCTTCCCACTGTGAGGAGGGCCTGCGTGAAGACGTGAGCAAGTCAGGGGAAAAAAGCCAAGCTAAGCAAAGGAGAACAAAACAAGTTTAAACTTTTATCCACAAGGTACTGAGGTCTCAACTAGTCGCTCATTAACATTTCCTGACACAGTTTCATGGCAGACATGTTTTCTCTTATTTATTAGCAACTAAACTTAATGAACTGATTAGCATTTCTCAAAATTATGATGAAATACATTCCTGCTTCCTTTCTCACATAGCCTTAATCTTTCACATTTCTGGCTAAATACATAAAATACAAAGATTTTTTGCTTCTTTAAAAAAAGTGCATTCAAATGCATATCAGTATCTATATTTAGTTCTACCAAATTGTCTTACACAATAAATATAATCTTGGGAGATGATTGTGGGGCAGGAAAAACTGCCTTAGTAGAAGCAAATGTGACTTAAAAAGCTAGAATTCTAAAAGACTCAGACCTCCCTATAAAGGCAACCGAATCTACAAATGTACCTGTATTTACACAGCTCCCCTTTCCCTTCTGCGCAATGGAAGATGTGTCCCTCCTCCAGCCATGGACCAACCTATTCTTCCTTCCCTTCCCCCCTCTCCTGTATGTTCCATCTTTCTCTTCACACCCCTCAACACCACTCTTCTGCCTGCAAAAGGGAACTTCCCTAAATGCCTGCTCCAGCTGCCTTCATCCCTCACTCTCCATCCATTCTCAAACAAGCCCATGGCTTCCATTCCCTTACAGTAAGGGTATCAAACTCATTTTTACTGGGGACTACATCAGCCTTCCGGTTGCCTTCAAAGGGCCAAAATAATTTTAGGACTGTATGAATGTAACTGCTCCTTAACCGTTGAGGAGTTGAAATTATATTCAGCCCTTTGAAGGCAACTGCGAGGCTGATGTGGCCCCTGGTGAAATGGGACCATCAGGGTCACCAATGGCCTCCATGTCCCCAAATCCAACAGACACTTTATCTGTTGGCATCTTAAGAATATTTGATACAACTGATAACTTTCCTTGAATATTTTTCCTTGCTTCCGTGGTAGCACATTCTCTCCCGTGCCTTACCTTTTTTTATGAACTCTTCCTTTGCTGCTTAGTCCTTAAATGTTGATGCACCTCAGAGGTCAGTACTAGGCCCCCTTCTCTTCTTAACCTGCCCCCTTCTGTAAGTGACTCCATCCACTCGCATGGATTCAACAACCCATGTGCCGACAGCTCGTGGAGGTACACTGCAGCCAGACCTCTCTCTGGAGCAGCAGACCTGTGCATCTGACGGCCCCTGACATTTCCAGTTCACTTATCCGATAGGAACGTCAAACTCAACGTGCCCAAAACTGAGCTCATGATCTTTCTTCCCAAATCTGCCTCTCCACTGGTGCTCCCAACCTGAGTACACGGGCCAGGTGTACCAGAAACCTGAGGACCATGTCTGAGGCCTCTCCCACACTCCCTCTAGTTACCTCACATTTCTAGGCTTCAGCTTCCCTATCTACAAAATAAGGAAACAGCAGCTTTTATCCTCAGAACTCAAGTGGGGGTTAAAAGAGGTAATATGTGTGAAGTGCTAGTAGAGTGACTGGCAAATAGTAAGAATTCAGAGAGTGATAGCTCAATTATGATGAACAATTAATAATAATTATAATAATATGAAGTATATTTTACTCTACCTCCTAAATATTTCTCAGAATACTCTACTTACCTCCAACTGCACGAGCACTGTTACTTCAAACTACAATCAGCTCTTGAGAAGGCTAATGCAACTGATTCTAACCAGTGGCCTCTCCTGCATCTTCTTTCGCCCTTCCAATACATTCTCTATCACAAAGCAGCTGTGATGTTTTGAAAATACAAATCCGGTCGTGTCACTTCACTGCCTAAAACCCAACAAAGGGCTTCCCACTGCCCCTCAGATAGAATTTAAATCTTTAACATGGTCTACAAGTCTCGGCATGAACTGGCTCCCCTGTCTACTTCTTTAGTCGCATGAACGGCCAGTCTCCCTTTCCGCTTCAATCTCTTCCTGCCCACGGCTTGTTCACCTGCTGGTCCCTCTACACAGAACGTCCTCCCTGGTTACTCTGCCTGAACAGCTTGTCCTTGCCCTTCGGGTCTTGCTTCATGTGTGTCCCTCAGTGAACCCATCTGCAGACCCCTGGGAAGGGTCAGATCCCCTCGTCCTGTGGACTCACTGGACTTTTCTGTTGTCCTGGTCGTAACTGTAAACGAACAACTGGCGAACAAAATGCCCTTTCCTTTTTGTCTGTTGGTAAAACCCTAACTGATCCTTCAAAGTCTAAATTAAACACCACCTCTAAATACCACCTAAATTAAATACTAAACTAAATTACCTTGACTCCTGATGGGCAAAATGACTTGCAGTCGCAGACTTTACACATATACACTGTAGTTAGGAATTTGTTTACATGTCTTTTTCATGACCAAACTGAACTCTGCGGGGGCCTTTGTATCCTACAGCTGCTGCTCTGAGAGTGTACACTGTCTCACAGCAGCAGCGTTAAGATACAAGTCGAATAATTACGTACTCAGTGAGTATTTATTTAATTGAATTGAGTACCTGGAGTACTACTGCACAGTCTATTAAGTAACAGAAATTTATATACAATCCTGTATGAAAACTAGTTGCTGTCATTCATCAGAAACATTCTATCCCCAATGGGACTTTAACTTGTGCACAAATTTGATATGTATATACTGGCTTACTATTTTCAGATGACAAGCAGTTTTAGAAACACGAATTCATTTCTCTGGAACGTGCTAAACAGCTTTGTAAAAAACTCCGCCTTGGTTTGTTTGTTTTACTTTTAATGCCCTCTCATCAGTTCTTCTCACCTTCCAAAAGGACGCTAACCAGTGGTGTGCGGTCACTGTTTTTGGTCTGCTGGACCAGCAGCTCCCCATCTTCCAGAACGCGAGTAACTGGATCACCCCATTTGATGATACCATTCATAATGTAACTGGCATAGTCCTCTTGGTTTGTGCCAAATGCCTATGGAGGAAAAGGATAGTTTAAAGCATTTTGAACATTATATTAAAACTGAAGACATTTAAAGGTATAAATGATGAGTAATAACTCCTACACAATAAAAGTGTTGAGCAATTCCCATATTAATGTAAAAGCTTGAAAAGCAAAACCAAACCTAACCCGCTGTTTAGGTTTAACTTGCATTTAACTTGTTACCCAATTGGGAGGGGGGAAGTTGCTTTGTGTGATTCAATGAAGTAAAACGATAGATTCTAGGCTCAGATTCTACCAAAGCCCAAACTGTCATAATCCACGAGAAAGGGTACATTCTAATATGCTTATTTCTGTAAGGAGTACATGGGTTGTTGCCTTCTGTTAAGAATAGAAGAAGAAAAAACTATTATACACTTAGAAATTAGGAACAGTTGGCGAGGCAGACAAAGACACTACCCTGTCACTGTAGGTGTCATGTATTAAAATGGGAATGTACAATGGTAATAAGGAGAGCCTGTTCACATCAGCTTGGTGGTAGGGGGTATACATTAAATGGGACCAAGGTAAGTATGTGTAAGTATGAGATTTCAAGTGAGGTAGGAATGATCAATTGTAATGAAAGACTGAAGGGTTAGGAAAAGAAAAGAAAAGCAATTACTATATGTAATAATTATTTTTTACTTTACTGAGAGAGAGGAGGGGAGGGAGAAAGAGAGGGAGAGAAACACTGATGTGAGGGAGAGAAACATTGATCGGTTGCCTCGTACATGCCCAGACCTGGGACCGGAACGGCAACCCAGGCATGTGCCTTGACTGGGAATCAAGCTGACGACTACCTTTCACGTTGCGGGACGGTGCCCAGCCCAACCCGTCAGGGCTCTATGAAAAATGTTAATTGTGCACACTACATGTTGGAGTTTAAATCGCATCCCTCTTCATTTTCAACTCCTAATCTCAAATTGGAACTCCCACCAAACCAGTTGCCAAAAGTAGACAGTAACTTTATAATTATTTACTTAATTGAACTGAATTCTCATAAGTATACCAGGAAAAGAAATGAGTAGGAAAACATAACATTACTCAGTGTAACGAGTGTAAAGGCAACATGTCTTGAGAATTTCTAAGTTTAAAGTTATTACATCCTTCAAACAGTTAATTTTTCTCCCTGGCCAGGTGGGCCAGTTACTTGGAGTCTCATTTCATGCACCAAAAGGTTGCGGTTCAATTCCTGGTCAGGGCAGATACCTGGGTGGGGGGTTTGATCCCTGGTCAGGGCACACATGGAAACAACCGGTCTGTGTTCCTCCATCACACTGATGTTTCTCTCCCTTCCCCCCTCCCTCTATCTCTCTCAAATCAATAAACATATTTTTTAAAAGTTAATTATTTCACCGCCTGACGTATGGAGTAATTTTAACGCCTCTTTAGAACCTGTACGTCATGGGAAATCATTCTTCGTGATACTGTCTCTGAACGGTATACAATGCTCGCATTACTCTATTACTTCGCCACCAGGTCACCTCTCGGCCCCCCCTTTGGCCCCTGTGTACACACTAGTCCTTTGATGGCTGAGTACAAAGGAAAGTCCTCATTCCCCGGTCTGGACCTGTTGCATTCAGTGGCCCTGTAAGAAGTTATAAAGGAAAATACTGCTGTGGGATACGCAGACAGGCCGACTTCCGTCTTCAATTATTCCAAGTTCGCATTTTCGGTCTCACAGCAGCAGCCTCCAGGTTCCTGAACCAGGAACCAGGGACCCTCCTCGGCTGCACAGTGTGCATGAGCCTTCCTCACTTGTCCTGTCACTTCGCTTTTTGTTTTATCCCCCAGACTCTTGGAATAAATAAGAGAAACTTATTACATACTTAACTTTATTATCTTAGTTTCCCCTTTCTTGTATCCAAATTATTTGTCATTAAAAAAAACCTTGGAATAGATCAGTTAGGCTGGCTCTAATATTTTTGGTAAGTACTACAAATGACAACAGCAAAAGATTAACCATTTCCATTGCTCAGTAACTTTTGAAAGTGATTTTATAGTTAAAATTCACAATAGTAATTAAAAAAGTAGACAGAGCTAAAAACAAATTGATTTTTGTCTTTAAAGGGGACACTTACAACAAATAATTATTGTGAAGAATATATATAAACTCATACAGATTAAATAAAAATAAGGAATAAACAATACAACAGAAAAATAGGCAAATACATGAACAGCATTTCATGAAAGACACTCATATGCCCAATGAACATATGAAGAAATGCTTCCTTACCTTCATGAGTAATCCGTGAAATGCAAATCAAGACCAGAATGAGATCCCATTTTACATCCAACCGAATGGCAAAAACTAAGTCCAACAACACTAAGTGGTGTACAGGATACAGAGTAACAGGACCTCTTCTACAACAGGATTATTGGGGGAAGTGCTTACTGACTCAACCACTGGGAAAAGTCTGAAATTCTTCAGTTTCAAGACAGACATTCATATATCCAGCAAACCAGCAATGTTATTGCTAAACATATATCTAAGAGAAACTCATTCAGGAATGCTCATAGCAGCGCTTGCTTGTAATAGGAAGAAATGGTAACCTCCCAAAGGCCCACTTACGGGAGAAGCTGTGGCAGCCACACAGTGGAATGCCATCCAGCAGTGAAGGTAAGTGATGGATGGCTACAGAAAACCGCATGGATGATTCTTGCTAATAAAATATGTAATAAAATAGCAAGCCCCCCAAATCGCATGTGCTGCATTTTATTTTACATGCCATGATTGCAGACTGATGACACCAGTGTGTCACAAACTGAAGGCTAAGACTAATTCAATTCTCTGCTTTTAAGGTCCATCGGGAGAAAAAAACCAAATACATACACCTTTTAAAAGGCCTACTTGTGCTTCGTTTTTGTGCTGATACAGGACTCCAGACAATGGTTACTCAAGGAAGAGTAACCAAACATTAGTGGTTATTTTACAGAAAAATGGGTTAATGACCTTATACTGTATCCTAAAGCTCCAACTATGACTGGTGAGTTTTGAGTGCATTTAAAAAAATACCTTTTTTTAAAAAGGGCACTTAGAACAGTTAAGAAACCTTAGAAACGATAGCAGTTAAGGGACCTAAAAGTATGAAGCAAGAAAAAGGCAGGCCCTGGAGGAGGTTGGAGAAAGGTAGAGAGAGAAGAATATGAGTTAATTTTAAATGTGATATATAATTTTTATATATCTAACTAACATATGGAGGATGGATGAATTAGGAAGAATTTTGGTTTCAGTAGCTTCAGACTGCATAAGAACCAATGAGAAAACTAATTCTAGTTCAATATAAAGTAAGAACTAATCATTACAAAGACTCCCAACAGGATGGTCTGCGTGTAAGATGGTGAACTCCCTGCCACAAGAGACACGGCAGTAAGTACTGGTTAATTATCAGCCATCAGAGTTCCTGTTCGAATGTTTCTTATACTAGGCCCTTCTAATACCGAGATTTTCTGAATTTAAAAAGTACCTATGCTATAACCTTCCACAGTTCGGGGTAAAATGGCAGTTACTTTTCTCCTGAATTATTGTTATTATTCTTGGCTTATGCATCACTCAGGATTTATACTCACTGGTTTGATATCATTCTCCAAAGAAGCAAGGAAGTCTCCCCTTGTCACCTGCAGGCTCTCTGCTTTTTCCATGTCTACTTCGACTTTAGTGCTGGCCTAGTTAGAAATAAAAACAAAATGTAAGGACTTCTAAGATTTAAGAACATTTTTCAGACAAAGAATGTAACACCTGAAGATTTTTTAAAAGATTTTTTATTTATTTATCTTTAGAGGGGAAGGGAAGGAGAGAGGGAGAGAAATATCAACGTATGGTTGCCTGTCATGTATTCCCTGCTAGGAACTGGCCTGCAACCCAGGCATGTGCCCTGACTGGGAATTGAACCGCGATCCTTTGGTTCACGGGCCCATGGTCAAACCACTGAGCTACACCAGCCAGGGCACACCTGAAGATTTTTAAAAGCATATTTTCACATCTCTCTCAAAATCATAAACACATATACCTTTGCCTGAACAAGTCCACTTCTAGGAACTTATCCTATAAATATATTCACAAATGTGTGCAAAGTTTTATTACTATAGTGATTTATAACAGCAGAAGACTAGAAGCAAATCAAATGTCCACCAAGTGGGTACCAGTTAAGTCATTATGACATGTCTGTACCAAAGAACTCTGGATAGACATTTCTTAGTGAACAGGCATGAGCAGGAGAAAGCACATACAGTGAGTATCTAAGAACAGTGGCTGTCATCCTTGTATCAGAATAGCCTCTGGAGTCATTGGAGATGCAGATACCCAGCCCCACCCGCTTTGGGATTCTGAGTTAAGAGGGTCCGGGCATTCATATTTTTATTAAGTGCCTGATGCTCACCCAGGTTTGTACATATTTTTCTAGGAGACCAAGGCCCTATAACTTTCATTTGCACTCATACTTTGTGCTTCAGAGTCTATGTGCCAGCTCCAAATATTCTGCTTCCTGCACCTGGAGCTGACACTTAGAACAGACATCTGGAGAAGCACCCAGGCCTTTATCAGCACTTGGAGCTGCCTGGGCCTGATGAGTGATTGAGATACCAACGCATTTTTTAATGTGACTGGGCTCACTCCCAATAGCACCGGGCAAGCCTGTCTAATATTTAAAATGGTACTATGGTTATACAAAAAATTATCTTAAAAAAATCTGATTATAAAACAAAAGTATGTTAAGCAACATCAACTTTCCATTGATTATTATAAAATATGAGTCATGTTCCTTTAGGAACAGACTGCTGAGACAAATAAAATGACAGACTTTTTTTTTTAAGTCAGTTTTTTTAGATAAAACAAAGACAGAAGAAAAGAACATTTTCCACAGCTGAAGAAAGCTGTGTCTTTTCAGTTTACAGGGTTCACTGAACGCTCATTAGGGTAAGGGAAAAGAAACCCACGTCTGTCTAGACAGTGTTGTGAAGGATTGGAGCACCAGAGGTGAAGAGAAAGTCCTAGAACCTTTTTGAGAGACAAAAACAGGTTATCTGGGAAAGAAGCTGGCAACACTAGAAACTAGAATACAGAGTAACCACATTTTCCAAATACATGGCTCTCTACCCTAAAAGTGATTTCCATGTACATAGGAAGATACAGGCAAGCCTTTTTATAACAGTACTATGTATAGTTGTAGCCTCTAGAGCAGTAATTTTCAACCTTTTTCATCTCATGGCATACATAAACTAATTACTAAAATTCTGCAATACACCAAAAAATATTTTTGCTGATCTGACAGAAAAAATAGGCACAATTTTGATTCATTCACACCAAATGGCTGCTCTATTGTGTTGGCTGCTCTCATTGTTTACTTTGACAATCTAAGGAAAAGGAGGTCACTGCCCCTGACTAAATAGTTGGCTATTGCATGTCTTAAAATTCTTGCTGAGCAAGACTTTTTGATGTCTAAAAGAATTCTAGCCCTGGCTGGTGTGCCTCAGTGGATTGAGTACCAGCCTGCGAACCAAGAGGTTGCCCTTTCAATTCCCAATCAGGACACATGCCTGGGTTGCAGGTTGGGTCCCTAGTTGTGGGTGAACAAGAGGCAACTGATCCATGTATCTCTCACACACTGATGTTTCCCTCTCTTTCTCCCTTCGTTTCCCCCTCTAGGAAAGTAAATAAATCAAATCTTTAAAAGAAAAAAAAGAATTCTACAAGGTATAAACTTTAAGGTAAAAATGAAGAAGCCAGTTCTGACATTAAAATCCCAATAAAGCTACCAGACTCATTTTATTTCATTTTTTTTAAAGATTTTATTTATCTTTAGAGGGGAAGGGAAGGAGAGAGGGAGAAATATCAATGTATGGTTGCCTCTCATGCGTCCCTTCCTGGGAACTGGCCTGCAACCCAGCCATGTGCCTTGACTGGGAATTGAACTGCTATCCTTCGGTTCACAGGCCTGCATTCAATCCACTGACCTACACTAGCCAGGGCCAGACTCATTTTAAATGTCCTCTCACTATACAGCCCTAAGTTTTTACTATGATGTTTGTATTTTTGATTTCCTCTTATAGTGCAACTGAAATGACATAAACATATATCGATATGGAGGGAAAATCTCGTCTATCTTTCAATGTTTGCCAAAAAATATGATAGATTTCAGGATTGAAATTGGTGTGCAACTGGTCTTTTTACTAGTAAGAAAGGACTCACCCAATGAATTAAAAATGAATTAAGATTGAAGGGGTAGAGTTACTTTAGAACAAGTTGTATTTATATACGCTAAGAATTTGAGAAGTCACCTAATCATAAACAATCAACAGTACTACAACTGTAAGTTATGCCTGACCATGAAGTTTTCTAACACTTCCTCTTAGCTTTTTATTTTACTATTTTATCAAATTAGTAAAACCTTGTCTTTTAAAATTCTGCAATTCTGAATTTTTACTCACTTAGAAAACCTTTTCTTATTTGTCTGAATTAGTGCAGCTTTCCTTTGCATTTAATTTATAACAGCTAATCAATACAGAAGAGGCAACATCTTTCAGCTTATACCTGCAGAAACTCATAAACTTGTATTTCAACACTAGCAAATATCAAGTGGTCACCCTTAAATTTCATAACCTTTTAAATTTGACCTTTGAAAGTTCTTATCATTCCTGTTAAATTAAGGGTAGAATGACCTCAATCAATCAAAATTCTACAGAAAATAAATAATTTTATTAAAGTTCTGCAAGCATAAATCGGAGCTTTGATTCAGTTGTGAAGTGTGTGTGTGCATATGTCTGCGATGTTTCCTTATAACAGATCAGAGCAGAAGAAATTCAGGTTGTGAATCTTCTCTACCTGGAGCAGAAATTCCTTTCAAGAGAAAAACAACCAACTGTCACATGAATTTTACCTGATCACATGCATGGGTTCAACTGTAAATGACGTGACTGTCAGGTGTTCGTGACTGGATTTAGAATACTGGACAGAACAGGTTAACAGGGAAGACCTGTTTAGTTCAGTCCCCCTGACTTTTTTTAAACCTAAATCTCTCGAAAAGGAAGCAAACACACTAGTAACGGCTTTTTATAATACAAGGAAAGAACATCGTAACAAATAGTTGAATGTTGTGTGTAAGTTCTACACCAGCTTTAAATCACAAGTTTCAAATGACTTACTCATCCGTCACTACTACTAAAGGTGACTAAAACTGTACGCCTTTTGTTCAGCTGAGGAGGAGTCTTAATAGGGAAACGGTGCTTAAAGAACTTTTGACAATACAGGTTTTTTAAAATGCAGAAAAAGAAAGAAATGTTAGTACTATGTTTTTTGGGGGTGGAGTTAGTGCCTTACACATCCTTCCCTTCTTTGAAGTGCTTAAGAGTCCCTTATATTAGATATTCCAGATACTGTAAAAAAAATTAAAAGCTCTTTGGTACAAAAAGGTGATGATCACAAGTCAATATGCATCACCTTATGTTTAAATTAAAGATAATTCAACCACATGGAAACAGCGAGGGAAATAATGTCCACTCTTTGCACCACTTCTTACTTGCAAATCTGTACAATAATATATTCTGTGTACTGGGAACTAACGTATTAGTTTTACACTTAGATAAATGATAACTACAAATAGTCAACAAAATGAAGAAACTCAGACATTGAAAAGGATGTATGTATCCTCTCAAACCCTCCAATAACAGAAACGTAAAGAATGACTTACAGGGGTGTCCAAACTTTTAGTGTCTCTGGGCCACACTGGAAAAAGAGTTGTCTTGGGCCACACGTTAAATACATGTGACACACAGTCACAAAAAAGCCTCCTAATGTTTTAAGTAAATTTACGGTTTTGTGTTGGGCTGAATTTACAGCCATCCTGAGCCACACGCAGCCTGTGGGCTGCAGGTTGAACACTCCTGATTACGGCACTTCCACATACAGTATTTGGCTTCTTTTCCACAGAAATCCAGACACAGGTAGTTATTGCCCTTTGACGGAGCAGAAACAAAAAAGGGAAAGAAGTGTAATGCTAAGCCGTGCCTCGGGACTGTGGAATATGTGATCTTTCCACCACATGTCATTGCTTCACATGTACAACTAATACACGCTTAAAGAGTGTTTCTTAGGGGAACGATGGCGTAGAGATGTTTTGGGAATAAGATTATTGTGGTTAAAAAGGCAAATAACTAAATAAAAGAAAAATGTGGAGGCTAATGCACATGAAAAATCTGATAACTAACAATCTAGTTATTGTGGACTTTATCAAGAAGCACTGATTTGGTCTGAGGTGAAGGATCAGTAAGATGGGGAGCAATTTTCACATCATTTACACAGTTGTTCTTAAAGTCGCCATCACTTCTTACCAAGACATTTCTTATGGCAAGGAGAGAAAAGGAAAGAAAAAAGAAAAAGGAACAATTTGCTTTATAAAGAAAGGACCCAATATAGTATTCTCCCACTATCCAGACCTTTGGCATTAAAAAAAAAAAAAAAAAAAATATATATATATATATATATATATATATATATATATATATATATATATATATATAGTAGTACTAGTCTCCTCCTCCTCCTCTTGGGTCTCCGGTGTCTTAAAGAGGATTTTCTTATTTGTCTAAAGTGACTTTCTCCAGTATGGCATTCTTGAGCTAGAACAAAATCATTTCTATTATGTAGGGAAATTATGACTTATAGATAGTTTGATTCAGAATACACATATAAGTTCACCAACTTTAAAAATATTTACTAAATACCTACAATGTTTTCAGTATTTAAACCTATTTGTGACACTGTGGGAACTTCAGAGGTGAGTAAGATACGGGCTGAAAGCTGACAAACGTTTTCTGTAAACAGCCAGACGGTACGTGTTTTAGGCTTTGCGGGCCACGCTGTCTCTGTTGCAAATACTCAACTCTGCCGCTACAGTATGGAAGCAGCCACAGACACAATGTAAATGAATGGGTGTGGCTGTGTTAAAAAAAAAACTTTATTTATAAAAACTGGTGGCTGGCCAGATATGGCCCATGGGCCAGTCTGCTGACCCCATTTGGTTTAGAGTCATTGCTAGAATGTACCCAAATAATGAGAATATACTCAACCTAACTGCTCAGGCTTTCATTATTTCCTGCAAGAACTGTTATACAAGTCACCCTCTTGTCTGTGTCGCCAACCCCACTCCCTTAAACACTCCACTCGACACAGCTGCCAGAGTGATCTTCTGTTTTAACACTGTCATTCTATTCTTAAAACTCTTCAATGGCTTAGTACTACTCACAGAAAAAAGTCCATACTTCTTAGCACAGTATAAAAGGCTCTTTGCACTCCATCCCGCTTTAGTCTCTGACTTTAGTCTCCTCGAAATCTACTTCCCCTCCCTCCCTTTTACGCTGAAGCGATGCTGAATTACCCTAACGTATCATGCTATTCTGTGTCTCTGCTCCCTTGCATGTACTGTTCCTTCTACCTAACACGCCTTACCCCACTAAGAGACACATCCACACAGGAACTCCTCTGTGAGGGTTCTTCTCTCCCCATCAACTGACCACATCTGGCACCTGTCACTTCCTTACCTTCCATGGCCTTTCTATGCGCAGGGCAGACTGTGAGCTGCTCAACAGTAGGAGATTTACTTCTTTGCAGTTGTAGCATTAAACCCCTAGCACAGTGTCGGGCATATAGTAGGTGCAGAATAGGTCTGTTTTGAACCAAAGGTACCATAAAGGATACACTACTATTCAGAAAGATAATACATCATTCTTGAAAGAGAGAATCAGAAAAGGTTTGAAGAAAGTGGTGGCATGTGGACCAGGTATTGAAAAGAGAAGTAAACAGAGAGGGTAAGACTCTCAGTGAAGAAAAGGAAAGGTAGGGAAGTAGAACAACAAATTCATGTCTGCTGATCAGTGTTTCAGTTTGACTGAGATGTATGGAGAATAACTGGGAACACACCTGGAAAGGCTAGCTTAGGACCTGAGGTCTACAGGGGCTTAAAGACAAAGGCTAAGAAGTCTGTACTTTGTTCCGGAGACAAACGTGACTCACTGGAAGTCTCTGAAGAGCAGAATGATATGAAATAAGAAGATTCATCAAAAAGAAGGGAGACAGTGACAATGAGAACTGAAAGACACCGCCAAGATAGAACTGACAAAATTTGGCAAATGAGTTGATATTGGACACAGCAGAGTGATATAAATAAAAAAATAACCCTGAAGTTTTAAGCCTGGAAAATTGAGACATTAGCTAAGAAGAACAAACAAAAAAAAAGCAGGTAAAAAAAAAAGTCGCCCTGGCTGCTGTGGCTCAGCAGATTGCGTGCCAGTTTGATTCCCAGTCAGGGCACATGCCTGGGTTGCAGGCCAGGTCCCCACTTGGGGGCGTAAGAGAGGCAAATGATTGATCTATGTGTCTCTCACACATCGATGGTTCTCTCCCTCTCTTTCTCTCTCTCTAAAAATAAATAAATAAATCTTTAAAAAAAAGACAGCAAATTTGTTTTTGAAACATTAAATGAAACCTGACACAACACCCAGGTAGAGTTATTTAGTATAAATTGAAAGTGGGTAACATACTTTCAAGAGGTAAGACATAAATCTGGAAGCCATGTACCTAGAGGTAATAACTAAAATCTGAAGAGAAGAGATGCTGAAGCATCAAATGTACTGTTCAAACTTTATCAAAATAAACGTATGCTCACTAACTGGCACACATGTCCAGTTCCCTGACTCTGAATTCCCTGAGGGGAGAGGCCATGCTTTACTATCTTCATGTCTCTAGCTTCAAACCTCAAAAACAGCAATTATGCCATCTATTTACTGAATGAAGCAGCCCCTGTAATTCTAAATGTAGGGGGAAAAAACCCAACCTCCTACGATATGTTACAACTCAACACAGCACAAATTTAAAAAATGCTTCAAAATCTTCCTCTTCACATGTATCAGATGGAGGCAAGCCTCAGGTAAACGGGTCAGTGGTCACCATGTGACAGATGCTACCGAGACTTTTCCTGTTGCTCTGAAGATTTAGCAGTTGGTAGTCAATTCCTATTCCTTTTACCATGAATCTTTTCTATTGAAAGTCAGCATCAGCCTAGCCCTTGGTGTGCTTGAAAGGAAAGAGGGAGGACACTGGCACAGTATGTGGGGGGCTGCAGGCTCCTACTCTGCTGGTTGACCGGACTGACCTTTATGTGTCTGTTCATGGCAGTGGACTGGGCCGCTCGCACCAGGCCCTCCAGCTCAGCACCGCTGAAGTTCTTGGTCTCTACGGCCAGTTCTTTAATGTCCACGTCAGCAGAGAGTAACTGATGCCCTCTCATCCTGGCTGTGTGGATGTGAAGGATCTGTAGTCGACCTTTCTCATCTGGTAAGCCTGATAAGATTGAAAAAATTTTATTCCTAGTGTTTGCTTAGAGCTATTCAAGCATGTAATTAAACATCTGCTTCTCATGATATACAACTTTTCTAACAAACATTAAGCTATTGAGTTATGTGACTTTGCTCCTGTTAATGAACTCTAAATGCACCCCACCCCCGGGCCATCAGGGACAGGTCTTCTTACCTATTTCCATTTTCACTTCCAGTCTTCCAGGTCGGAGGAGGGCCTCATCTATCAAATCCGGCCTGTTGGTCATTCCTGAGCACAGGTGTTAAAACAACATACAAATGATCACAGTTCAAAACCAGGAGAAAATGTCCCTTAAGTAGATGTAGGAGTAGTAATTTATCTTAGAAACTAAGAGGACACTATAAAAGTCAAATAGAAAACCAAATTACTCTCAAACAAAAATATCATTTGTTCTTGATCTGCTCTGATGAAAATACCTGGAGACTTTGCTTTAACATTTCACTACTGTACAAGTCAAAGGAATATAAATACAATGAAAACTCTGATTACTGAAAAAGGAACAGCAAAGTTCAGAGAAGGTATGTAACCTGTCCAAGTGAGGGAGGGGCCTCATGAGCTTCTCATCCATCTGACCCTGAATTCCCTTCCCTTTGTGTAGGCAGATGGTTTTCAACCTTCATAAATAGTAGACTCCTCCTCACGCCCCACCCCCAGCCCTGGAATGCCATCAAGAATCTCAGTACATTAAACACATAAAAGACAAAGTTATAATAGGATGCATGATCTGAGGCTCACTCCCTGGCCCTCACAGACCCTGGAGCCCCCCTGAGAACCCCTGGAGGCCTACAGGACCCAGTTTGAAAACCACTGCCTCACACTGCACTCTCTCAGTGAGCTATATGCCTAAACCCATGAGTCACTAAAACCCATCTTTCATTTAGGCTACACATTAGCCTTCCTATTAAGGCTACACATTAAAATAATCAAATTCTTCTATATCACTCGATCCTAATCTGGAATCATTGGCAAAGTAGTATAATTACAACCTACACATATCTTATTTCCGAACCTACATATCTAATATTTTTGAAATCATAGTCCTTTTTTTTTCAGAGCAAACATACCAATGACTAAGATGTTGTTCAGCTGCTCCACGCCATCAATTTTGGACAGCAGCTGGTTGACGACAGTGTCATGGACCCCCGTGCTACCAGCCATGCTCCCTCTCTGCTTGCAGATGGCATCGATTTCATCAAAGATGATGATGTGCAAACCACTGTTAGCACCGAGCTAGCAAGGGAGAAAATCATATTAAAGGTCATACAATTCAAATACTTTGAATATATTTTAAACAAACTAATCAAAAAAGCAAAGCAAGCTTCCTGTAGATGGACTTCATTCCATGTTGACTAATACATATAGCAAGTCTAGTCATGGTTGCTGTCCACGCAAAGCTATTGGAAATGCATTCTTGGAATTCTGCAAATGCATCCCAGAACCTCTTATTCAATAGCCATAAAAAAAACATATTATGCATGATGAAAGTAAACAGTTCAACATACAACTAACTGTTTCTTTACACTTATTTCTTGTCTCACTATTTGAAAGAATTCTTATACTTATCAGATGCTATTCTTAAGTCAGTGGATGGCAACTCCCTCCCATTTTCCCTGACTTTTGGTGAGGGGATTGTCCCAGAAACAGTGGGTTTAATGTTCATTTGCTTGTCAGGTTATGTAGTTAAATGGTAGCTCCACCCAGAGGTCCGCTAGGGATTCGGGAGATGGGGACAGGAATTGAGCATGATTCACATTCCGTTGTACCACATGAAAACAGACGATTTTCTCCTAACAGTCAAGTGAGAATAGAGACAGCTTAGAAAAAGAACACAGTCGGGAGGAGGTGTGCTGTTTCTTCTGCAGAGTGATTCCTGTTTTAGTTTATTAAATATAGAGTCACTGTCTAAATAAATTAGTTTATATATTTAAAAACTCTAATAGATGCAAATACTTTTAAATGCCAATGATTGATTAGGTTAAGTTAAATGGACCCTCTAACCATTTATCTTTAAGTAATTAAGTCTTATTAGAAACTAAGAAACAAAAGTTAAACAAAAACATTAGGAATTAACATAACAGGTGAAAATAAACATAACCTAAATAAATATGACAATATATGGATAATATAAGATGGGCCTAATGAGATTAAGGATTAAATATGGTTGGTATTCATTAAACATCTGGCAAGGATATAATCTTTTTTAAAAATAGGTTTTTAAAAAACTTATTATAAAAGTATTTGAAGTTAGCTGAGCAAAAGTTGTAGGGCTAAGTTAAAAATAAACTATACTATCACCTAAAGATATCTGCTATTAACATTCTGCAAATTAATTTCTGTATTTTAAATTTATTTTAATTACAAAATTGGGAACTCGATGTATATAGTATTCTCTTGGATGTTAACTATTCTTTGAAAACAATTTTAAATGGTTATTTTTGTTTCTAATTGCAAAATACATGATATTATAAAAATTTGGAAAAATACCAAAAAAACCCACAGAAATCACAATTACCTAAAATTCGACTAGCTAGAAATAACTAAGGTTATTCATTTGATGCTATGTAAATAATTAGTACCCTGCTTTTTTTCAGTTCAGACATTACCTTAAGCTCTTTCCCATGCCTGTAAACTATACAATGTGATTTTTAATGGTTCCATATTTCATTGTATGACTGGTTTTACAGTTTAACTCTCCTACTCCACATTAATTCCTTAGTACAGATACTTAACAATGTCTAAGTTTTCAGTATTATGTGTGCTGTTGCAATGAACTGCAGATAAAATGTTTTATCAAAAGCAGGAAGAGAAACAGTTCCAAAAATGACCTGAAGGAAATTAGACTGGGTCTAAAACAAATATAAATATACAGAGTTGTTTTTCTCTTTTTTAAATCAAAACCAGATAAAAAACTGTTTCATGAGCAATTCCACTCCTTAGTTTACAGCAACTCTACTCCTAAGTGCCCCAAACTGGAAGCAACCCAAACGCCCTTTCATGGGTGAATGGATAAACAAACCACGGTACATCTGTGTGAAGGAATACTACTCAACAATAAAAAGGGATGTCTGATACACGCAACAACTTGGATGAGTCTCAAAGGCATAGTTATACCAAGTGGAGGAAGCAAGTCTTGAAAGGTTACGACCTTCTCAAAGAGAAAAACCCACAGGATGGAGAACAGATCGGCAGTGACCAGAAGCCACAGGCACAGGGAGAGTGACCACGGACATCATGAGGGAATTTTGGGGGGAGATGTAAATGTTCTGTATCTAGATTTTAGCAATGGTTACATAAAACTATACCTGCTAAAACCTGCTAAAATTCATAAAACTGTATACCAGAAGAAAGTCAATTTTACTTCATAATAATGAACAAAAACATAGAAAAAATATAATATATTATTCATATTTGGAGTACTATTCATTCTTTAAGGCACTACTATGTAAGGTTATTGATAGTCATGTGCTCATTAAGGTTTCCAAAATTTAACTAGGTATTATTTTTTTCTTCCTTAACATTACCTACAAAATTGTTGTCCTTCTACAAGTGATTTAAAAACTAAATTCAAATCTGAAAAAATTAATTTCTCATATCATCGTAGTTATTGAACACATGTCTGATGATAAATGATAGCTTGCCATTTTTTAAAAAAATTCAACACCAAAAACTATTCAAGACTGAGAATGAGGGATTGGAACTACAACCTTAGCCTGTTACCCTACATAGCAGGGTAACACTTCTATATAGTAGGGTCTTCGGTTCAAAACAAGCAGATGCCTGTTTGTGACTAAAAATTTTGGGATTCTACATTACTTTTATAAACATTTTTATTCGAGGTTGTCCACCAACAGAGCATGAGACAAAAAGCTGCTACAACGTGTGAACGGTGCTGTCAATGTCCTTACGTTGCCACTGGAGTCATGACTTCCTTCCAGGCCAACCTCAAAAATCATCTCCGTGGAAGGGAAGCCAGAGACAATAGGAACACTGTGTTTGCCTAAGTGATCACAGGAGCAATCTGTCCCAAACATAATTCAGTACAGTTCTGACCTTTTCAGAGCCTTACTAATCTTGTGACCTGTCATCAGGTCCCTTCCCCCAACTTGGTCAGCAGAGTAACATCAATTTTTACAGGTGTGCTACTTAAATAAAGCCAGGTTCCCACTGCAATAAGTTAGGAGTCAGATAATGTCAGAACTAATGTTCACAGATTAATATAGCTGAATCATCAATAAACCCCTAACCAAAGAGTCTAAATTCCCTCAATGCAATCCTCTTTAATTTGCTGGCTTCTAGCTCTGTCCCTACCATCTGAAAAGTCTGCCCCCACAGAAACAGAGCTGATGCTGCCGAGCTCCTGGCAACAGCCTTCGAAAACCACTGTTCTATATTTAACTAGTCTGACCTATATGCAAGTGCTCATCTCTGTCAGCCTGGACGGGCCAGAACCACAGAGGTAAGGCTTTTCTTTATTATGTAACACACACACACACACACACACACACTCCATGGGGTCATTAGCTGAGCATACCAAGCCTTTTCTGGATGGAAGAATTGAGAAAGGTATAACTGAAAAGGCTGGCTATGATTAACACCTACCTAGAAATTCTTTCCAACTCAATTTTATCATTAATAGTGTTGTATTTAAACTGCCTGCAAGTTTATTTATAAAGATTAATATCTCATGACATTTTTCCTTTAGATTTTATTTATTTTCAGAGAGGGGAAGGGAGGGAGAGAAACAACAGTGTGTGAGAGAAACATCAGTTGCTTCTCGAGCACCCGCAACCAGGGACCTGGCCTGCAGCCTAAGCACGTGCCCTGACTGGGAACTGAACTGGTGACCTTTTGTTTCACAAAAGGTTTCACAGACCTTTTGTGGTCAGCCACACCAGCCAAAGCATGAATTTTTTTTTTTCCATAGAAGTCTTCCACAGACCAAAAAGAAAAATATATTAAAATAAAATAAAATAACACTCATTTTACAATTACCATACAGATCCACTGGGTTTTTAAATAAATCTTAAGCTATATTATGCTATTTCAACATTCTAGAAATTATGTCATCAGTATTCACCAATTCTCAACTATGCTAAAAAAAGATTAAAGAAAAGAGAGATGATGAAGCTGCTCAGAACGATGCAGTAGTGAAACAGATACCACTATGACATCGTCCCTCAGTTTTCTCAGTGTTGTCCAAAGTACCACATTATCTTTGGAGGAAACACCATCCACCAGCCTTGTTGCCTGAGTTTAGTTTTAAGTGAATACGCTGAGAACTCGGATGTTTTAAATTCCCTGGCCATAATGGCAGAAACAAACAGACAAAGAAAACCGATAAAGATACTTCACAATTACATGAATCCAAAGTTCAATGCACAGAGTGAGATAGCAGCACTTGAGACTCTAATGAAGACAGTGAAACTGATCACTAAAGTCAAGCCTCAGACTACATGCCTTCAGATGATGATATTCTATGTGAAGTTTTCTCAAACTCAAGAAGGAGTGAATATATTTGTAAGGCCAAAAACAATATGACATTTTCATCCAGTTACTTATTCACAAAAAGACTTCAGTGTGCTGTACTGTGACAAGAAACTAGGCTGCCTCCTTTTTGTAAAAGGACACATGGCATTATTTCACCATCTTTTATTTCAGCCGTGCATCAAATTTCCTTGTTATGGTTTCTAAGTAGACATGTGCTGAAGGTGGGGACTATGGAGAGATGACCAGAAACAGATGACACAGACGTAAAAAACTGGACTGACCATTCTAAAAGGTGAATACAAATCTAAAAACAGAAATGTTTCGCAATTACGGAGTGTGTGATGGCCATCCTCTCTTCAACTAAATTATGAGCCAAAGAGTAAAAAAAAAAAAAAAATCTTCAAGTACTATGTCTTGATGATGCAAGTGGAAGAACCTGAAGTAATGATAAGCTATTAGACATGTATGTGAAATTCACAAGCAGTACACACAAGCCCACACATGACAACTGATGAACAGTTGAGTTAGTGAGTTACATTCAAAAGTTCCTGCCCATTTTGGGTATGTATAATATGCCTTCAAAACCAAGAAAATATGGAATAAAAATTTGATTTGTTGTATTTAAGCTCTTATTAAAATATTTTAATAGATTTCCACTTCTCTTTAATCTTGCATTTGTAAATTATTTATAAAATAACTTTAAAATAATTTTTTAAAAGTTCTTTCAATCCAGAGAGTAAATG